AATTTTTCTGATGCATTTGAGAGCATGGCTAACTTTTAGTTTGAGGGATTTAGCATAATTATCTTAAGCCATATCTCATTTAATTTTCTTTGATGAAGATACAGTAGTCCGGGGTGCACTCTGCCTCTCGACCAGTAACAGCTTGGATAGCCTCCAGCCTGCTCGTGACCCTACTTGTTAAAAGCAGCTATAGAAAATGGAAGGATGGGTAGAAGCTATAATATTTCTGCTATGAAAATGTAATAATCTCTATGATTCATCCGTTTAGAAAAAGAATCAGGGTTTGAACAAACTTAAAATGTCCTTGTGTGAACCATGTGTAACAATCACTCATGAACTCTGAACTTTCTCTACAGCACTGAATATCTATTAACAACACATTTACTCGTCTGCATCCTTCATATATGGCCTTTTTGAATTTGAGATTAATTCCTGATATTTCCTCAAATCTTACAAATGCACAATAACTAGAAACATTTTTGCCAGTAAGAACACTGACAGGAATGAAAGAAACAAAAGATTAACAGACCATGAAGAAAGCTGACCGCAGAATTTCCATATTTCTACTTTATTTAGATCATGCTCGACACCACAAAGGTTCTTCATGTACCGTGAATCTATTAATCTGTTAAAAGAAACAGATCATTTTCATTTCTTATGTACATTCATCAAAGCAGTTGAGCTCCCAAAGGCAATTAAAATGAATAAATCAATAAAGAAAAGGAAAACCTGTTGAATTGGAGAGGTAATTCTGTCCTTTTTGGCATCTCATAGATGTTATTGCATTATTGCATAAGGCCAGATGTTATTTTGTAGGAGATATTTTGAATTGTAATACCCAGACAAATAGTATGAGCTTTCTTTATCCATTGGTAAATATAGGCACAGTATAGTTGGTGCCTATACAGAATATGTTTTCAATCTTTTCACTTGTGGTCTTAACAAAATATTCCTCCATTTTTATTCATATTAACTCCCTATAGTTTCCATCCATTTACCCTCACTCTTGCGCATTGCATTGCAGCTTCTGATAATGACACTTGTGGTTTAAAAAGTAAGCATTTGCAGAAAGAAAAACACTGCTGATTAGAAGTACATGTTAACAGTTGGCCCCGAGGCAGAAGATGGAGAGAGTGACCAAATAGATAGACACCATGCAATATTCTATAATGACCTGCTTCTTGTAACTTTTCATAACAAGAATCAACCCTATGATTCTGCAGTGAAATAAACCCTTGTGGATGTCTAGATAATGGAGATTATTGGCTGAAATATCAGGCTGGGCCACTTACCAATGCTATCAGTATCAAGGAAGTCTAATAGGTATATTAACACTACCTTTGTTTTTTACATAATTACAAAGCATAGATTTATCCTCTGAAGAAAAAATCCTTTATTTTATCAAGACAATGCAATAATTATCTTGCGGTCAGGAGATTATGGCATTTCAAGCATAGATGTTCTTGGCTAACATAGTGAAAGCCTGAAGGTTTTATGTTAATTTTAATAGAATATTATAATTCAGAGTCGGGAACTGAAAATACACTCAGGACTGGCAATATGTGAGAAATGAGTGAATTCATTTGTTACCAAAACAGCAATGAATAAGACATGCCTTAAATGCAGTTAATCCTCTTTCATTTGAAAATATTTAGATGTGACCTGATGGAGGTTTTACAGTTTTACATTGAACTCATGCTCAACTGTGATTGGTCAAATAGACATAACTTTCAGTAATATTGATTTTTTTCACATTCCCATGATTTGGAAACTGATTAGTCAAACATCTCCAGCTCTTGACAACACTTTACTTTACAATGTAAAGAATCCTTATCTCCCAAGGTCCAACACTAGTACCTTCCTAATATATATATAGGTTTGATAGTAGAGGGTTACAATGGTGTTCATTTGAAGTGCTGTGATAACCTTATATTATTTAGAGTTTAGGAAAGAGTGAATAGTGACTGTTTAAGTAGCACAATAGATGTGACTGTGGGTAGCAAATGTGTTTGTTATATGTCTACATTTATTTATTTTTTTGGTTTGTTTTTTCCAAACCTATGCAGCGTATTGTATTAGTCAATCATATACTTTTTGTCTGTTTTAGAGGCAAAGCTATTTGTATTGTATTGTATTGTATTGTCAGTTGGACTCTTTTATTGGCAAAATAGAAATTGATTTCAAATCTTGCAAAAAATGTATTATAAAATACAATGAAAATATAAAAAAACAAAATGTAGCTATTCATTCTTTCACTGCTGTTTTACTCCTACTGTCTCTTGCCTAAGGTAAGTATTTGTAAGTATTTTGCAGTCCAATCTCTCCAATCTATAATTGGACAGCAAACAAAATACTAAATGGTTTTTGTATTACATAAAAAAAAGTTATTTTTGAATTAAAACATAATAAAAGCAAATGGGAAGTCTTATGGCAGGTTTATGAGAAGAAACGGATGCAATTGTTCATTCAGTTAGGACAGATCGTTGTCCAGTTGCTGCTTTTGGATGCTTTCTGCTGATAGCACCTTTACCTGACCACAAGAGGAATCCTAGTCTAATATCCTGACCTCTTTGTATTTGTTTTACTATTATCATATCATTATTATTAGTAGTAGTAGTAGTAGCAGTTGTAGTATTATATGCTCCCTTTTGTCAGTGGTTGTTTATGCATTCCTTCCCTTTTATATATTTGCACCACTATTAAGATACATACAAATTTTACTTTGTAGACATAGATAACCTAACTCAAGAAGAAGAGAAAAACAATGACAGGTCTAAAGTCCATGATAGTTTGAACGGTTGGTTTAAACATCTACTTTGATTATAAGTAAACAATAACACTGTTTCAGAGTACACAGCATGACTTCTTTAACCTTCGCCATAATTTCTTTTTTTTTGTCTTACTCACACTTTGATGAGTCTCTTGTGGTTGCATGCAACCCAGCAACTTTACATGTAATACTTTCGGCATCCTCCAGTGTATATGTATATCTATTTATCTATTCATATGCATACGCATGTAACTCAGTGGGAAATGGAGGTTATTTCGAACAGTGCTAAAATTTTTTTATAAAACACCCATCACCAGCTCCCGCCCAGATTAACTTCCCAGACTCATCTGTTTTCATTTATGAGATGATGTCAAAACTCCATGGCAACCACTCCACCAGTACCCCTGGGATTGCTAACGAGAAGGATGCAGAAAACAAGAGTACCATATCTAGACACACACACACACACACATTAAAAGCTAAACTCTAACATTGATGGTGTGCGATTAGTGTGTCAGAATCAGTTTTCTTTCTTCCAGAAAACATGGTGCTGGAACACCAAAGGAAAATAGCAGAATATGACAATTATGTCATAGCAATGGTTCCATCGAATAGAGTCACCTGCAGTTTATTTTCTTGCTTTTATCAGGAGATGAAAAAGCCTGTTTTGCATGTTGACAAGTTACTATAACTTGTTATCACAAAAAAATTACTTTTTTTTTTGTTTCTTGATGAGCTTTGGTTCCTTGATACTGCAAAGTGATTATTTAGAGCTTAAATGAGCTGTTACATTTTGACATTACAGTCTGAGAACATCCATCAAAGTATGTCAAGGTTTAATGTAATTCTGCTTGTTGCACTGAGTTTACTAAATGCCCGTGCCTGAATACTAACTGTGGCATCTTTGGGTAGGCATATAATTATAGCAAACAAAAAAAAAAGAAATCCACAATAACTCTATGGGTGGTACCCCTGTTTTCAAGCCTGGGTCCACTGAGGCCTGGGAGCTTTAAGCTTCTACGCATCTATTACATGTTCCTAGAACCAATACTGAGTTCAGATCTGGTTATGGCATTGCATGTAGGCCGTACCTGTCTACATGGTATAGTGCCCATGTGATATTTTTTAGAACATACTTCAAGACCATGTTTTATATATATATACATAAATATATAAAGTTTTGAGCGTTGAATATTGAAGATTTGGAAAATCGGTCACGCCGAACAAACTTGAGGATCATAAATGTTCCAGAGGACAGTGAGGGTACTGAGGACACTTTTAACTTTATGTCAAGCATGTTGATGGAGATAACCGGCAATACATTGTTTGCTCCAATTCTGGGGAGGGCAAAGAGTGGGCAACAGCTGCTACACTAATGTCAAACCCTCTGCAGACATGGCCATCTTTCTATCTGAGTGCAGAATAATCCCCCCCCCCCCCGACTGTTTTTGTTTGTTTGTCTGTTTGTTTGTTTTGTTGTTGTTGTGTTGTTTTATATATTGGTCGGTGGATGGATGGGTTTAGATTGAAAACCAAAATGAAGAATATTAATTCAAGACACTGTATTCAAATGCATTTAAATGCATTGTCTACCGTTGTTGAATAAAATATATGGTTTAAACAGAAAAAAAGAAGAAAGAAAAAGGGCAAAAGCCTGTGCGAATCCAAGTAACAGCATTCTCATAACATTCTCATCAATTATGTATCAAACTCCTAGCTGAATATCTTAAAAAAGATGGCAAACAAAGGAGAAGTAAATAGACTTTTTGCAATTAGAATGTTAGTGGAAAGTATAAAAAACTCTTTATCACAGCACAAATAGATAGGATCACAACAAAGAGGAAGTTATTTTTTCTTCTTTTTTTAAACCTCGGACAAGCAGAAATCCCCGACCAGGCAATTACAACCTGAATTCTGCCATGAGACATGAATAATGTCAATCATCTTTATAAAATGCAATATTGTGATGAAACTTGATTGCTAGTATTGATGGAGTCATTAATATTTTGTGTGCAGAGCAATTAGACATTTTAATCACAATCAATCATGTGTCTTCACACCTAATTTTTCAGTCTGTTTAAATTGTAGCTAAATTACAGATTTTCAAATATAGATGGATTGCATGCAAATTAAATCTTACCTACTCAACTTGCATATGTAACATGCACTGGTGTTGGGCAGCTTTCCATCGCCTTCCCCCAGAAACCCAGAGGACCCTTAGGATCCACACATCGCAGTAGGACAGGTCACACTGAGTATCCCCAGAGGCCATGTACTGCCTTAATGAGTCCGAGCTACTATAGTGGCAGGAGGAGTACACACATAATATTAAGCAGGTCGTTTTCAATTGTTTGATATGTCTGTATACAGCTTGACCTAAGTAAGTACAGACAGATAGACACTGCTGTTATTTACAGTTCGTGGCCTGTTTGCATTAATTATTTAATTTGTTTGGTGACTCAGGTAAATGTGGCGTCTTGCAGGATTTGGATTGGAGAGATATGTGCTAAGGTACTAAGACAACTGTGTGTGCCTCCTTGATCCATGAAGTTCCCGTGCATGTGGATGAGAGCCAAAACAAGATCTATTGCCTTACCTCTGCAAAGACAAGCATCCCTCAGGGGTTGGTTGTCCCAGTTTTATTTCTAGTTACTACAAAAAGCAAGCTGTCCCTCCATGAGATCTGGAGGTGGTGCCACCAGCCTTGTACCGTGAGCCATTTGAGCAGCCTGTGCTTAAGCTCTCAACTCAGTGTTATTATTAGCATTGTGGTTGTTGGCAGACTATGAGAATGCTAACCTCCTGCAATGCTGTGTTTGTTCTATAGCCAAATTGTGCACTCCACTAAGTTTGTAAATAGAAATTGTGTACAGATGAGGTCTAGAAACACTTAGCAGTGCGTTCAAATTATAAGCATCCAGAGATGTAATACAGTATATACGTTATACTTATGTGATGACAATTAAAGATGTACAAACAAAGCTGTCCCTGACAGTCCTCGAAAGAGTGCAGAAATTCAGATAGATAGCATGAGGGAAAAAAATTATAGTAAGACGTCATGTACCACAAACTGGTCACGTTCTGTTTTATTAGCAATAACAGATAAACTATATAAATTGTTTTCAGACTTGTGGATGCGTTCAGTCAATTGCTGATTGCCTGACAAGGTGGGAAACACAACAAACACATATTAAAATGTTTAAAATGTCCATTAGATGTTTATCTTATGTAATGGACTGGCGAATTGTCCAGAATATGACCCTGGAAAAATCCTGAATAATGCAATCTGCATTATGAAGGAGGGATTGAGACTTCAGATTAACTGAAAAGAAAAAAAACAGACTTTTTTTTATCTCACAGTGGAGAAATTCACATAACTATGACAGTTGTATTCAGATACTCTTTAACCTTTGGGCTATTAATGTGCCTTCTCTCTTCAAAATGCTTGTAGATTGTAGATTAAAACCAATGTGACTGAAGGCAAAATTGGAGGATTTGGTAACCTCTCAGATATTTCGGAATGAACTATTTGAAATGTATTTTTATGGATTACATTGTCCTCAGGATACCTGACTGATGGTGTAGCAGATGATGTTTGGGAAAGAGATGCTACAAGTTTTTTAGAGCCAACGACGCACAATATAATCCAACAACTGTTGTGCCTCGACAAAAATCGAACCCCCGTAGCAAAAAAAAAAGGAGAAAACATCTGGCAGTCTGTTGAGGTGGGCACGACTGCTGTATGCATCATTGCATACAGCAATGATGCATACAGCAGTCATGGGATTTTGACTCAGGGTTACCACACGGGTTGAACGTCAGATTTCTGACTGAAGATCAGAGTCTTAAGAGTCGTAAACTGGACACACCTGCGACTGTGTCCCTGAGGTAGGCCTCCTGGCCTCCTGGCCCACAACAACATAAATAAAAATGTCAAAACACTATTGTCTCTACAGGAATCATTGTATGTTGCATCACAGACAAGTAGTTCTGCTGAAGATGTTGCTAAAATGTCATCATGCCACTGAGACCTTTAATTCTTTCTCCACAGCAAGTAAATACAACAATTGGAACTTCCCAAATACTTTGAAACTGGTTTCCCTTTATATGTTTTTCTTTTACCAGCTACAAAATAAATAAACTTCTATGTTCATAACCTATAACTGTGTTTAAATATATTGCACACAGAAATCCATAATAATGCACATTGTAAAAAAAAAAGAATAATTTTACATCCCTTCACCACAGCTGCTCAGTATTCTTTTTTAACTTCCTATGATGTATTGAAATCGTAAAAACCGATGACCCAACAGCAGTTTTGTGGATTAAATTGTTGGGTAATTTGTGTTATTTTTTGTTCCCAAGTATGTACAAGCAGCATAAGCCTTTGGTTGATTATAATGTTAGTGATCTAAGACAGACACAGTATTTACTTGAATATCTATTTAATGGAAGAACCTTCCAAAAGTGCTATATGTACATTTTTATACACAATATATATATATAAAGGCTATTGAAATATCCCCTTTTATAGTGCAGAAGAATATGCCTTATCAGTCGTGCTTTCTTACCCATATACACATTTACCAGGAATGCACTTTGTACCTCTCACAATCTTTTTATCTCTAAATCAATTAATTTAGATTTTAAAATGAGCTCCGTCAGAGAAACTCAAACACACTGAAATTATATTAGACATGAACTTCTTTGAAGTCTCTTCCTTGTAACAGCATATTTATCTTTTTTTTTCTCCATACAGCAAACATTATGTGTCTCTGTACAGAGGTGTCATGTTGGATGAGGGGACTTGCATTTGAGCAATCAAAGGGGCCAAATCATTTCATGAGAAACTCATTTGCTGTGATCCATTGTTGCCTCCCCTGTACTTCCATGTGTTTACTCAGTTTGGTGGAACACTTTCCATGGCCCATCACAATTAGTGCAGGAATGGCAAATCCTACAGTGACCCCCTGAGATGTTGTGTTCAGAAAATAGGAACGGAGGGCAAATTGAAATTTTTTCAATGTTTACTATTAGGGTACTGATTGTAGAGCTTGTCATATTATAATACCAGTGTGTCTTCCCTTTCTTTTTGCTTTGAAAGCATTATGTTTTTTTCTTTTTTTGCTAATTGCCTTGGCATCGCTCAGGCAAAGCCTTGCCAATAAAGCACCTTGAAATTGAAAAGTGAATTGGAAGTGAGTGGAGGGAGGAGATTCTCTCCCTCTGTCTCCCTTTTTCTATGGTTGGTAAGGCAGGATTAGGCTAGGCACAGAAAGACACAAAGGGGAACACATGTGTGTGCGTGTGTGTGTTGAAATTTGTGCAAAAGTGTCTTTGTGTGTGAGGTCTGTTTGCATGCTAACACTGTCCTGGAGTCAGGGCAGCAAGGACTCAATTAGTTCAGCCCAGACAAAAATCCAGAATCTTCCACATTCTGGGTCTTTCTGGGATGTGGTATTAAAAAAGGAGGAAGAAAAGGCTAAAGCTCGGCCTGCAACTCGGAAAACCTCAAAGTCCCTCTCCTGTCATGCTTATCCATGAGAATCCCTGCACATGGTGACTAAAGGGGAGCGGATCTCAGCTGGAATCCCACGATCAGCCACCGCTCTGGGTTTTCTGCTTTGTTACGGGTGAAAAGCGATTTGGCTCATTGTTTACTGTTGCACGGCTTATTTGAATAATGTTTGCAGGAATAGAGGAGCAGACACAATGAATAGAAGGTTGACAGATTCGTAGATGCTTTTTTCTTCAGTTACTGCTTGTAAACAGACAATCAAAAATGGTGAGGAGGAAAGAAATCATTCAAACAATCACAGGAGGAGGACAGGAGAAAACGACTCCACTTCTACTCTAATGAGCAAGCAGCTCAAGTTTGGCTTACCTGCTTTGGAATTAAATCCACGGATCCACAAAGATGACAACAGGTTCTGAGTTAAACTGTCATTTATTAACAGGAATATAAAAAGGCTCATGTTTTTTTTGTTGGGTGTGTGTAAGTGAGTGTTGGGAGCAACATGGCATAATTGTACAGCTGTTATAGCCACCCACCAGTTTCGGACAGAATAGAGTAGAGCCTTACTCCATGATGATGAAATCACAGGATGACAGCTTGGGAGCCACATGTAACTTAAATCCCTACATGTATTGGCACAAATTTTCTTCCATCCATGTAAAACTGATTAGCCTAATGATTTGATAAACCACTTAATACGGTGGTTCTTAACAGCCTGAAAATACAGCTCACCCAAAAGTCCACCATTGCCACTCAATGCATTGTGTGGCAAGATGGCTGCAACACACGTTTTGAGCAAAAGTAGGCAAAACATTTTATTCTTTATTTGCATTCATGTTTAAAATAGTCACCTTTTCTAGCGACATGTTTTCAATGTATCTTTTTTTTACTCAACAATGTATCAAGATATCTAGACATGTTCCTCAAAATGTACATAAACTACTATGAAAGTGGTATAGTTTGATTGTTGCAGAGGAGGTAATAGGTAGGGCTGACATAACTATAGACTGAGTTCTTAATCTACCAGAAAAAGGAAAAAAAAAAAACTGGACCAAATGTATATATAGTACAATCCTGGCACATAGTTAAAATATACAGCAATCTTCTATTCCTACACTTATACTCTCGTTCTGCAATGAGAACCTAAGATCGTGGGGTTTATCCACCCTCTAAATTCAAAATAGTAGCCTGTCATCATCTTGAATAATTATACTCTGTGTGCATTTTGACCCATTTTGTCATTTGTCCTCTATTCTTAAGTGGAGCGTTGTGGAGTAATCATGAGAAATCTGTAAGGTAAACTTTAAGACTAATCCCCCGACTTTTATTCTGCTTTTTTAACTAGATGTAGAAAATGTGAAACTAATATAACATGATTTATGAATGGGAAAGTGTTTACAAACACATAAACACACTGTATGCATGTTTATCAGACTGAAACTTCCAGTATTATAAAGTCATCTGAGATAAGAAAGTGTAAATGTGTGGCCACTTGAGTTTCATTAAGTAGGTTGGGGAACGTGCATTGGCTTCTCTGTGTCTGGTTGCTCAAGAGTTTGGTACAGAGAGATAAAAAGAGCCTGTGGCCCCATGTCTTACCTTAAATCCGCTCCACACATTTTTCAAAGTGCTTCCCCGAGACACCTGAAGAAATACAAGGGTATGCTTTTGCCAGAGATAGATTAACCTTATAAAAACAGGTTAGAGAATGGACAAAAAAAGACTAAATCTCAAGTAGCAGGGGGAAAGAGTGAAAT